GCTGTGTGCATTAGATCAATGACTGATACAGTTCTGATATCAAAATAAGGAGACCTGGCTGCTCAGCTCCCCGGCGCGAGAACACTTTGGATTTCAGAGAATTCCACTCTAACCCAAATCCCGCGGTTTCCCCCCCGTTTTGCACCGTGGCAAACCCGAGCAGGGAAAGTGTTTTCTCGGGATGGGGAGGCAGGAGCAGCTTCTCCTTGGGTTTCTCACTGCCCAGGGGAGCCCGACTTGTGCCCGGCGTGAGGTCAGAGGGGACAGGGGTGACACCACAGCCTCCCTGGGGAAGGGAGCGCCCATGGGGGGAGCTCGGAGCCCCTGCGGTGGGGAGGGGAGACACACGGGCTTGGGAAGGAGCAAACTCCATCAGGCTCAAGGGGGGAGCTGGATCAAACCCCCCCGGCTCCCACAAAACGCCACGTACTTCAGCACAGCAGACCTGCTGTGCAGCAACATCGTATTTGTGAGGTCGGGGAGAAAAAAACCTCCCGAAATAACCCCCACGGGCGCTACTCCCTTTGCTCCTGTCTCCCCCCATCTCTGCTCAGAGGCTTGGAAAGACCGTTCCCTAAAAAACGGTGATTTGGTTTAGCACGAGGCAGAAAAACCCGCATCGAACCAGGGCTGGAAGCCACGCGCTGCCTGCTCAAAGTGCGGGTAGCTGAGCCTGCCGCCCGCCAGAAAACAATGGTCATTCTTTAAAAAGAAAAGAAAACTTCCATCCTGCCATGAAAGCAGCAACAGCCTGACACTTCGGGAAAAAAAAAAAAAAACCTTCCAACTTGCAGAACGACTGTGATTAATCAACTTGTCCATATTGTCTAAATAGCCCGCAGAACAGGAATTAAAAATCATAATTCCGAAATTATAAAATTACCCACGATAACACAACTGGGAAGCTCCTTCCCACTTCGCTTTTGTTTGTTGTTCGAACTTGTCAAACCACTTTCTTTTGTTAAAACAGATTCTTTTGCAATGAAAAGGCAGAGTCCCCTTCAGCAGATGGACTTGCAGAATGAAAAATGTTCTAATTATTACGCTTTTCATTAAATCAATTATCCCCGCAAATTGTTTCTGTGTTTATCTCTGCCCATCAGCAGCAAAGCCACGGAACAATCTCTTGTCACCGTATTTTTCTCCTCCAGGTACGTTTGTTCAGATTTTTGCTACGGCAGCTCCAGCTGAGATAAGAACAATCTACTTGCCCGACTTTTCTTTGATGTTCCTGTAACAACGACCTATATTAAAAGAGGTTTGTTAAGCTAAACTCCACTCCTGCACCAGCCTAGAGCTGAGGCTGCCAAGGGAAAAGATTTCTTAATGATCTCTTTCGATTTTTACTCTCGTTTTACCTTTTCTACTACAAATAACGACACAAAATTCAGCATCTCTGCCCTTGGACTACTGAGTATTTAACCCTGTGAAACCCACCTTGGGGCTGCAGGCAGAGAAACCCCAGAGGCTCCTGAACAAACCTCACCCTCTCCTCTCAGTCCCCCTGCTCTTTCAGACAAAGGCTCTGGAAACAGGACACTTACCTTTCAACTCCCCCAAAGAAAACTACTTTCCAAAAAGTTTGCAAGCAACAGAAACCCCCCCAAAATTCCCAGGGAAGGCTCGTAAGGACGAGCGGGCTCTCCCAGGGAAGCTGCTTTCAGACGCCTTTATTCCGAGCTCCTTCCCCCGCTGTTTCATTTCTTAATTTATTTTTTTTCTCCCTTTTTTTTTTCTTTCCCCCCTGTTTCATACGCTGTTTCCAATCCCTTTCAAACGACCCTGTTCACCTGCCGGTGCCAGGCGGGGTGAGGGACCCACCCCAGGGCACCGGCCCCCCCAGGACCTCCCCACGCGGGACAAAAGGCTGCGAATTAAAGCACCGACTTAAACGCTCGAGTTGCAACTAAAAAAAAATGATGTCCGTGCGGATTTTGTCAAGGGAAAG